GCCAAACTCTTTATTCAAGGGGAGGTAGTCAAAGATGTGAGGTTGCCCAATTCATTTGGCAATGATGTCATGCTTGAGCATTCACTTACATCCAAGGTTGTCAAAGATGTGAGGTTGCCCAATTCATTTAGCAATGATGTCATGCTTGAGCAACCACTTATATTCAAGGTAGTCAAAGATGTGAGGTTGCCCAATTCATTTGGCAATAATTTCAAGCTTGAGCAACCACTTATAATCAAGGTAGTCAAAGATGTGAGGTTGCCCAATTCATTTGGCAATGATGTCAAGCTTGAGTTTCCACTTATATTCAAGGTAGTCAAAGATGTGAGGTTGCCCAATTCATTTGGCAATGATGTCATGCTTGAGCAACCACCTATCTTCAAGGTAGTCAAAGATGTGAGGTTGCCCAATTCATTTGGCAATGATGTCATGCTTGAGCAACCACCTATATTCAAGGTAGTCAAAGATGTGAGGTTGCCCAATTCATTTGGCAATGATGTCATGCTTGAGCAACCACCTATATTCAAGGTAGTCAAAGATGTGAGGTTGCCCAATTCATTTGGCAATGATGTCAAGCTTGAGCACTCACTTACATCCAAGGTAGTCAAAGATGTGAGGTTGCCCAATTCATTTGGCAATGATGTCAAGCTTGAGCATTTATTGACATCCAAGGTAGTCAAAGATGTGAGGTTGCCCAATTCATTTGGCAATGATGTCATGCTTGAGCACCTCCACATAATCAAGGTAGTCAAAGATGTGAGGTTGCCCAATTCATTTGGCAATGATGTCAAGCTTGAGCACCTCCACATATTCAAGGTAGTCAAAGATGTGAGGTTGGCCAATTCATTTGGCAATGATGTCAAGCTTGAGCAACCACTTATATTCAAGGTAGTCAAAGATGTGAGGTTGCCCAATTCATTTGGCAATGATGTCATGCTTGAGCAACCCCACATATCCAAGGTAGTCAAAGATGTGAGGTTGCCCAATTCATTTGGCAATGATGTCATGCTTGAGCAACCACCTATATACAAGTTAGTCAAAGATGTGAGGTTTGCCCATTCATTTGGCAATGATGTCAAGCTGGAGCAACTACCTACATCCAAGGTAGTCAAAGATGTGAGGTTGCCCAATTCATTTGGCAATAATGTCAATCTTGAGCAGCAACTTATATTCAAGGTAGTCAAAGATGTGAGGTTGCCCAATTCATTTGGCAATGATGTCATGCTTGAGCAACCCCACATTTCCAAGGTAGTCAAAGATGTGAGGTTGGCCAATTCATTTGGCAATAATGTCAAGCTTGAGCAGCAACTTATATTCAAGGTAGTCAAAGATGTCAGGTTGCCCAATTCATTTGGCAATGATGTCAAGCTTGTGCACCTCCACATATTCAAGGTAGTCAAAGATGTGAGGTTACCTAATTCATTTGGCAATGATGTCAAGCTTGAGCAACCACTTATATTCAAGGTAGTCAAAGATGTGAGGTTGCCCAATTCATTTGGCAATGATGTCAAGCTTGAGCATTCACTTACATCCAAGGTAGTCAAAGATGTGAGGTTGCCCAATTCATTTGGCAATGATGTCAAGCTTGAGCACCTCCACATAATCAAGGTAGTCAAAGATGTGAGGTTGCCCAATTCATTTGGCAATGATGTCATGCTTGAGCAACCACCTATATTCAAGGTAGTCAAAGATGTGAGGTTGCCCAATTCATTTGGCAATGATGTCAAGCTTGAACACCGACCTATATTGATATTTTTCAAATAGAGAAGATTTCCTATTGATGTTGGCAACGAATGTAATTGTTTACAATCTTTCAAATTAAGTATCTTCAAAGAAGTCATATATTGCAAATCATTTGGTACCATGGTTAAGTTTGAGCATCCTTCTAAGTCAAGTTCTAATAATGTAGGTATTCTAAAAAATGAATGTGGAAATGTTTCTACAAATGAACAATTTCTCAATTGTAAGATATTCAAACTCTCCAACTTTTTCCAAACATTTATGTCATGAAGCATTTGTAATGCTTTGGTTGTTGATTCTCTTGGTATGTTTTTTTTTTTAGGCATATCTAATAGAAAACATTTTAAACTGAGAGAATGTTTTATCAACACAAAAAATATGCTTATTATTCTTATAACAATATTGGGTGCAAAATCACCAATAGTACAACTTAAAAATTGAAGTGATGAAAAAGAATCACTTCTTAATTCACTTATAATATTATTGTGTATGTTGTTGTAAAATAACCCCTCCAACTAAAAACCAACACAATTAAATACACAATTAGATTATAATTTTTGCATTAATGACACTTTTAATGCACATACAAATCTATTTATAATACAAGATTCATATTTAAGCATAATAACTTCACTTCAATATACATTTAGAATACATACTATAAATAACATAACATACAAATAAAAAACCTCTAATTTTTAATTGTTCATTCTTTTCTAATGCTATTATTAGTTTTATGCATGCAATTAGGATAATAGTTACATAAAATTACCTTGTTTGACAATCCATAAAATAGATCTACATTCAAATTCCACATTCGTGTGTATTTATACTCCATTTCTTTCTCAACAATGTTTCTTCCCATGTCTTGTAGTTGATCATGTATTCTTATAATTTTATCTTTGTCTACTTTTACCAATGATTGGTAAATCAATGTATCTAACATAACTTCCATATCTTGTTCAAATATTTCTTTTTGGCTATTAGCCCACATTCGCAATGCTCTTTCTTTTGACATGCCTTGTGGATACACATCACTACTAAAAAAACAACATATGTCCAAAAACATTTTCTTCTCTTCATCTTTCAAATTGTCAAAGCTTACTCTTAATATCTTCCAAATCTTGTAGTTACTATTGTTTTCACTTCCATCCAACTCTCTTCCCCTTTTCAACTTTTGTAGAGCTCGCTCCCAACATCTCAATCTCTTGTTCTCTCTCAAAAATGCTCCCATAACTTTAAGACTCAATGGTAGGCCATGGCAAGCTCTTACAATCTTTTCCCCAACTTCAACTAATTCATTTGGCAAATTTTCTTGGCCACAAGAATGAGTGATAAATAACTTCATACTTGTTTCTTCATCAAGTTCTTCAGTATTTATTATACAAACTTCTTCACCACAATGCTTTATTGCTTTTGAATTTCGAGTGGTTGCAACCAATGTGCTACCATTGCTAGCATATATGTCATCCATAGGCACAACATCTTCAATTTGACTTTGATTCTTCACGTTGTCAAATACAAAGATGGTTTTGTTCTTCATCAAGAATGATTTCAACATTTTTTGAGCTTCTTCAACATCCTTTGGTTTTGATTTGACTTTAAATTGTTCTAAAATGTTGCAAGAAGTTGTGAAGCAATCAACACCATTTTCAATGCATTCAACAAAGCATGATGCATCATATATGTCTTTTACAATAGCCAATATAGCCTTTGCTAATGTGGTCTTCCCTATTCCACCCATTCCAACAAGACACAATACCTTCATTTTATTTACACATTCTTTTTTTATTCGAGATAAATACTGTTCTCTACCAAATGTATCTTCGTCAAGTAAATCAACCTACAATTAGAAATTCAACCATATATTAACAAAAGAATAATAATAATAATAATCATAATAATACTTTTTTTTATTCTAATCTAGTTTTATTAACTAATACTCTTGAAAAGGCATCTAATCCTCACTATAAGCATATAAGAGTATGTGCCAATACAAAATCTAAGCAATCTAATAAATTCATTACATACTTTCAATAACTTTTTGTACAAGTCTTACCTTTGGCAATTGATAGAGTGTTTGTTGCAATTCGTCATTTTGATGGTAGTTGTTCTTTGATACTCCAAAATATGGTGCATTTGGCACATTCATTCCAACTAAAAACTTACATTTTAATGAGTTCAATCTTTCACAAATGCATGCGAACTTTGGCCGATGCAAAGGATTCAACCTCCAACAATCTCTAATAAGCTCCATCAAGTCATCACAATTTGAAGGTAGCTTTGGTCTTTCACCTTTTTCAATTCTTTCTAATATTCTTTTTGGGTCATGAACATCATGAAATGGATCTTTCTTTGAAAGAATCTTAGAACATATCATTGCAAATGAGTAAACATCAGCTTCAAAAGGACACATTGCCATTGTTTGAAATCTATTTTTAAGTGCCTCTGGAGCTATATATTTAGGACTACCATAAATGTAATTATTTTTTGCGGCTACTGAATTTCTTCCAACTTCAATCTTGGACATTCCAAAGTCAATCACTTTCACAATAGCATGTCGAATAATTTTATTCTTAATCTTTGATTCCACAATATTAACCAAAATATTCTCAGGCTTTAGATCACGATGTGCAATGTGCATGTCATGCAAGTAACACATTCCTTTTGCAATTTGATGCATGATGTCAATAAGAAAAATATAAGATACTTCTTTCTCTTCTTCCAACATATTGCTCAAATTGTTTTGCATCAATTCCATTCCAATATACAAATATTCTTTTTTGTCTTTTGTTTCAAAAGCTTCAACACTTCCATTAGCACTACCTTTCATTGCAAAATAATATGTTATCAAATTTGGATGGCTTACACTTGCTAGAATATTCACTTCTTTGATGAACAACTTAGCAAATGCAACATCCATTTTTTTAGTCGCACACAAAAGTCCCAACCACTTGGATTTGTAAACTTCTCCAAAAGATCCAAATTTTCCCTTCACACATTCTATGATTTCAAGACTTGTCATATCTATTGAAAAATTCAAAGCATCCAATTCTCCAATCTCAATGTGATACAAGTCTTTGCATCTTTGTAATAGATGCTTTGCTAATGCACAATATTTAAAATCTTCTTCTTTACTTGCATGGATCAATCTCTTATATAATAATATAATATCATCTTCTACTTCTTGATATGTTGGAACATCAAAAGTATTAAATATAATGTCTTCAAATTTGTAGGAATTATACTTTGAAAGCATATCACTTGCAATATCACAACAACATTTTAAATCCAAAATTAGTTCTCTAAAAGTCTCTTTATTGTTGAATTGGAATAAAGCTTCTTCACACCAATTTGGTTTTCCACATTTCTTTATTAGAGAGTAAGATTTATTCAATATAAAAAATAGCTCACTTAATAAAAGTCCAAACTCTAATTTATCATTGGTGCAAGTTATAAGGTGGTCAAAAATCTTTGTAACATTTTCAATTTTCTTGCACAAATTAGTACATTGGTTTCTATTCAACATGTACTTTTTCTTCAATAAAACCTTGAATGCTCCAATGTAAACTTTAGAACCTTCCCAAGTATCTCCACAAATACCTTGCATGTTTGATATTTCTTCATATTGTTCCATGGTGCTTGAAGATCTTGACATGAAGAGACCATGTAAATAACTCCAAACCATATATATACATTTCTTGAATAATTCCAAAAGATATCCCATCTTGATTTTGTAAACTAATAAAATCAATTTCACCTTCTCACCACATGTAGAAAACATGTTAGATGTATTTAGAATTTCAAACAATCTTCTCAAACTCTTTTATATGAATTGTTCCACAAACCATACCATTTTTTTATCCAACAAAATGAATCTATACTTCTAAAACCAAACCATCACTTAATTTACGTACATATTTCAATTAACCTCATTTCAACCTATGTTAAAAATTACTAATCCTATGTCAAACATCAAAACCTGAAATTACTTCTACTTAAAGAAATCTACCTAAAACTTTTACACAAAAATGAAATAATCTACCAACAAGATGCAAAGTTCAAACATTTAAAATATCTATGTAACAAAGTACACAAGTCACTCTAGAGAACTTTTGTTATAGTGAATACCGAAAGAAGTTAAATTGCAATTCAACAAACTGCCGCCGACGCAAGGATGACAAGTAAGATTGCCGTTTCTCAATCAGGTTTTAAGAAAATCACATCTCATAGTTCAGATTGTCCGCAAACGTTCCACCACGACTCGCTCAGCGCCGCTTCTCAAATACACATGCACCAGGCGTTGAAGAATACAGCAAAACCTCGAGCGCCTCAAGTGCTCTCCACCAAAAAGCACTTCGCGACTTCCATTCAAGCCAGGCTGGACCCTCTCCGGCACAGGAAACGGATCAGTCGTGCAGACACGAAATCACCTTCCACACAACGCTCATGCTCCTCAAACCACGGGGGCTTGACACTACAGCCCGACAGGACACCTAGAGGAGAAATAAACTAATACAGGTTACAGGGGCACAAAATCAATGATTTATGGCTATCCCACACTGAAAATGGAAAGGAGAAGTGAGGTATCTCAACAATCATGATACGCGTGGGAACACCGAAAGCCACGCAACGCAACATGCAAGCCCCTCGAAACCTAATACATACCCTAACGCATACCCTGATGCAGCAACCACTGTGAACCGTACAACGAACCAAAACTCCGCAACCTCCGACAGTGCCAAGCCACGTATTGGTGAATCTCTCTCCTCCGACGTAAAGATCCCACAGAGAAATTTCCCTCCGCCTCGGAACACCGCGCAGTGCCACAAGCTGTGGCGGCCACCACCAAACCCCTGGACCATCGACAAACCCTAAATAATGCGGAGACGCGCAATCCCCTCCGGACTCAAAGGCCCTCTGCAAGTCCACTGGGCTCCAAATAACCGGGCTGGTGCCCGTGGAGGACCGTTCCGTGGAACATGCCTCCAGTGGATGAGAACTCGTGGATGGGCTTTGTTTTTATATTAGATCAACTTACTACTATTTAATATTTATTTTTGATAAATCAACAATATCATCATTCAATTAACAACACAAACATAGTCATATTAGTATATGTATACTATATGAAATTGAAATTAAAATATTATAAAAATAAATAAATCACAATATTTGATTTACTTAAGTAGTATATTTCATCCAAATAAAAAAATAGTCTTATTCTATATATATATATATATACACTATTTTATAATTATTATATATTTTATAGAAATAATTAAATTTGAAATAATACATATAATAATACCATTTTTAGACAAAATAAATTATGCATGTAATTACTATGATATATAAATATATAATTTATACTATATATATTTTTATATTTAAAGATAATTATTTGGTACCTATGATATATTTATAATATATAATGGATGTTATTTTATTGACAAAGATTTGTAACTTGGATTGATACAAAAAATTATTATTATATATATATATATATATGATGTAAAAAATTATTATATATATATATATATATATATATATGATGTAAATAAAAAATACACAATTTTTATCATAATAATTTTTTGAGTTCTACCTTACATATAAAATCTATAATTCTAAGACTAAATCATATATCTTAAATAATTTTAAAACCAATACTTAAATTTTTTATATCTATCTTAATAATCTATTTTTAACTTATAACTTTAATATAGAACTTACTAATCCTAAACTTTAAATAACTTCTATCTAAACCAATACATCTTATAAATTTAGATACATAATTAAAAATATCTTTTAACAAGCTACAAACATATTAAAAAAACATTTACATTAAAATTATAATATCATAAAATGAAGTTTTGTCAAGGACATAAATCTCAAAGAACTAGAAGATCAATACACTTTTGTATCAATCAAAAAAACTAGAAAATCTCTCAAAATTGATATAATATTAAACTAGAATAGTTATTATCAAAGATTCGGTCCAAAAGCCTCACTCGAGTCCCGAGCCGAAGAAAGTATAGGATTCCCAATCCCATGCCCTCATTAGTGGACATGATTAACCACGAATGAGGAGAACGAAGAGTTGGGTGGTTTACTGGGGTGGCAAATGGAAAGTTTGGTAGTGACCTACAAAAACGAAAATGTTGCAACATAACGCTGATGTCGCCTCTGAATACAAATCGGCCCCTCTGCGGCTCTTTCGCACCAAGAACTGCTTTCTAAGTCGAGCATTCCGCTTGAATCCTAACGCCTAACCAGTCCCTAATTCGTTCAATTCTCGTTTTTCTGATCCGATTACTGTTCAGAACGCATTTTTTCCACGTGGGGCAACCATTCAAATTTTTTGGGGGTGTGATATTGAAGTCCCTAGCCAAGAATTATGCATTGGCATTTATTTGAAGCTCCTATCAGCTATATTCTCATTGTTGAGATTGACATTATCGGTGAGAATGTCCAACTCTCGAGTGCTGTATCTTTTCTGTGAGTTGTGTCACTATGTACGCTGTGATAATTTAAGTGATTTCTTCTCACACCGAACCAACGTGTTATTATATATTGCAATGCAACACACTAATTTCATATAGCACACTGGTCTGGCTGTTGTCTCATTGCTGTAACGCAGTGGCAACATGCTCGATATATTTCTCAAAAACCCTTAACTGGTATCGTTGTAGTGTTGTCAACTTCTGAACTAGGTGTGTTACTGAACTGAGGCAACAAAGTGAAACTAGAGTTGTAATCTTTGATGTTCAGAGTGTAGGAATTGGGTTGTGCGTGGAGCCTGGTGAAGATTCGGCCTCCCCAGCGCCAGAGGTTGGCGTCCCTGTCACTACCGACAGAAGCATTTCAGAAATCATTCAGTGTTCAAATCTTAGCCTTGCCTACCACTAATTGTTTGTAGATGAATGTCTATCCCAGATGTGAGTGTTCTTCTGTAAGTGAGAAAACAGAGACCTTCGGCTCATGATACCCAGTTTCTCATTCTGGATGCTAAAACTGGCTCCGAGATTTTGTCCGTTCGAGACTGATAGATAGAGGTGGAGTTCAAGGCTGAAACATGTCAGTCGAATTGTGACTCATGGGGCATCACCGAGATCTCCAGTTCCTCAAAGCTCTACAAAATATGTAATATATGTGTCTGTACATACATACATACATACAATTGCTTAAGCCGATTTCAAAATGATTTATAATAATGGGTGAAAAGACACACTGAAATGAGAGTCTGAAAGCTTAAATAAATAATTAAATATATAATCATTATATATATCTGTGATTGCAAAGCAAATCTAAATATGGAATGGACTAAAACATAAAAAGATCAAATATGTTATAATTATAATCTATGTAGATGTACATAGTATTATCCTACCTAACTTTGTCACATGAATATACTTGGCTAGATATGTTATTGATGGTATGAACATGTAGTATATATAATATATGTAATATTATAATATATAATGATAATATGTAATAAGGAGTTATTAAAGCCACATCCTTCTTTGCTATCTCATGATTGATTCCATCCATTCTCCATCTTTCAAATTGTCAAATTATCAAAGCTTATTCTTAATATCTTCCAAATCTTTTAGTTAATATTATTCTCATTTCCATCTAATTATCTTCTCTTTTTCAACTTTAGTAGAGATTGCTCCCAACATCTCAATCTTTTTTATCTTACAAATTTCTTTAACATTTATCTTACAAATTTCTTCATTACGATACATAAAATACAATTAATTTAATAAATTTATTATGTGCTTTCTATTTTTTTATTACAAGTTTTATCATTGGCAATCTATTAAGCGCTAGTTAAAATTCTATATTTTGATGATAATATATTTTTAAATGGTCCATTTGCTATATTAATCTTAGCTAAAAACTTATTTCTTTAATAAATTTAATCTTTCACAAATATTTACAAACTTTGCTTGTTATAAAGAATTTAAGTTCCAACATATTTTGATAAGCTTAGTCAATTTATCACAATTTGAAGGCAAAATTGATCTTTTACATATTTCAAATTTGTCTAAAAATTCTCATACTTTAAAAGTATTACCAAATAGATTTATTTTTGAAAAAATCTTAGAATGCATTATTGCAAATGAATAAACATATACTTCAAAAGAATACATTATGATTGTTTAAAATATAATTTTTAATACCTTAGGAACTATATATGCAATAGTACTATAAGGCTTTTTATTCTTAATAGTTTTTGGATTACTTCCAACTTCAATCTTAGATATTTTAAAATCAATAACTTTCACAACAACATGTTGAGTAATCTTTTATTTTTATAATTTTTGTCTCTATGATATTAAAGAAAATATTAAGAAGCTTTAGATGACATTGTGTAATGTATATGTTATGCAAGTAGTACATCTCTTTTGCAATTTGATATATAATGTCAATAAGATAACTATAAGATATATATATATATATATATATATATATATATATTTGCATCAATTCTTTTCCAATATATCAATAATCTTTTTATTCTTTTGTTAATAAAGATTAAACTCTTTTAGTAGCACTACTTTTTATTACAAAATAAAATATTATTAAATTGGAATGACTTAAACTTGCTAAAAAATTTTATTTTTTTGATAGAAATATTATCAAATGCAACATCCATCTTTTTAGTTATACACAAAAGTCTCAACTACTTTCATTTATAAACTTCTCTAAAAGATCCATGTTCTTTCTTTAGACATCTTATAATTTCAAGAGTTGTTATGTCTATTATTGAATACAAAGCATTTAATTCTTCAATCTCTAAGTAATCCTAATCTCTCAATGTTTAAAATAGATATTTTACTAATTCATAATATTTAAAATCTTTGTCTCCATTTGTATGGATTAATCTCTTATATAGAAATTTTATATCACCATCTACTTTATCATATGTTAGAACATTAAAAGTACAAATTTAATTTTTGACCTTAGAATTACACTTATTGTTTAATTAATAAAATAAAGATTTTACATTCTTTAGAAGGTATATTTTAGAATTATTTTAGACATAAATGATTATATATAAAAAATCTTTATATTAAAAAAAGGCAAGAAGAAAAGACTTGGTATAAAATAAAAAGTCATAAGAAAATTAACGTAAATACGATTTGGATAAAGAGAAGTTAGTGTGAAATAACAAAATGATTAGCTATCCATGTGTTAAAAAGTTAAGATGGTTAAAACCACCTTTGGTAGTTAAGTTAGATAGAAACAAAATATTTTTATTATATTTAAATAGTATCAAAAAATTACTATTAAATAGCTATAAATAGTCACAAAATTATATTATAAATATCATAAAGAAAATCACAATAAAGAGATTATAAAAGACATTCTATTATATTATTTCATTATACACTTTTGATCTATTAACAAGTTATAAGTGTTAGAAAGAAGATTCATGAAGATCTTTAGGATTCTTAATACAACAAAGAAAGAATTTAGAAGATAAGATTGATGATGAAAAGATAAGGTTTATCAAGTCAAAATTATGTTCTATTTCAAAATGAACGACATCAATAGACTACTTCAATGTTAACAAAGATATGAAAGAACATATAGAAGAGTTTGATGAATAAAGATATTTAAGATAAGTTTAGAATTCAATAGCTAAAAGATTGATCTTAACTTTAATGTTGACTTCAATTCCAAAAACTCACATTAAAGTTACAACTATTGAAAAACAAAAGAATGATTTTAATTAAAGCTTGATGCAAGTACATGAATACTTGTTATGTAGAAATATAGAAGGGATATCTTATAATTTTTAAGGTGTGAGAATCTAGGTATTCAGTGATGTCTTGAAATTTATTGAACTAATACTTTAAAAGCACATCATTGTCAAAGTTATTAATTGATAGAAGATGTATAAACTTGAAAAATCTATGTTAAAAAAAAATAAAAAATAGCAATAAAGTAGTATATATATTAAAAAAAAATTGGAATAGATATTGCTAAAAAAAAAAAAAAACTAAAGACTCTTAAATTTAGACCAGAAGCAAAAAATGAATTGACAAGAGTGAAGAAGGCTTCACTCTTGCTTCTATATATACTATCTAATTAGAAGCTACGTGGCAATGTTCTATAAGACCTCTAATATGTGTTGACTTTACATGACACATGCCTTAGCTTAGAAGACAAGTTTTCTAGGTGTAGGCTATATAGTTACCTTATTCTTCAAGCTACCAATATGTGTGGTACATGGCCAACTTGTTGACCATGTTTTTAACCTAAAAAAATCAATTATAGATATCTATAAAGTCAAAGCAATATCTATGAAGCTTCTAAGAAGCTTCTATAAAATATATTATGGAATTCATTTATTTTATCTATTTTTACCTAATTATATAGGTAATTATTGGTTTACATGTGTATGTCTGTGATATTATTCTTCCTTTTAGGGATAAGTTCTATGAGGAGCGATCTTCATATGTTGAAGAAATCTAATATGCAACAAATTATATTTATGACATACTCTGATCTTTGTTCTCTTCAAAGATAGTTGATAGGCCTTCTCAACCATCGATAATATTTCATACTAGGGCGAGAAGACTACCCTATTATTCGGTTGTTGTTGCAGCCTTTGTATCTTCTTTCAAAAAAAAATATTTGGAACACCATCAACAATTGTTCCTACCTTTAATAAAATCACCAAATATTAAGAGTCTCTTCTAAGGTTGTGATACAAAACATGTTGTATCTTGCCACCTATTTGAAAAAGGGCATGTCATTCTTGAGGATCTTCATCTTGATTTCATTGTCTTGTAGGTTGTAACAATTACAATATCTCGTGTGATAAGTCCACAAATGAAAGCTCTTGAATTAAATCTATTGGTTGTTGGTTCTCCATCTCCTTAGTGTCATAAATACACAAAAGCTACAAAGATAGATAGAAAATAGAATGCAATCTTCTATGGATCTTATTTCTTTTATAGCAAAGACTTATTATTCTTTATCTTAATTTTGATAGATGTCATTCATAAAAAGCCTCTACCACCTTTGATGTATTTGCAAGATTCTTTATTGACTCCCATCTATGTTCACTATTATAATATCTATGCTAATGGATAAGATATTTTAATTTATTTTGGCATTGCCTTGACTCTAGAATTTCTTCCACTTTAAATTCTTCATTATTGTCTATTTCTACAGGAGGAGGTGGAGCTTCTTTTCTTTTTGGTATATTCATAATCTTGTATGGTTCAAGAAAAAACATGTGGAAGATCGAACGGATCTTCATTGCCTCTCATAGATGTAATCGATAAGCAATTGGATTGATTTGTCTACAAATAGGAAAAGATCTAAGGTTGCAATAGTCCAACTTATCACAAAGATGAGTAGACTTGATATTATAACATAGCAACCATATCTTGTCACATACATTGAATTGTGATTGTTTCTTTTGATAGATATTAGCTTTGATCTTTTGTCATTCTTGAGCTTCCTTTAATTATACCTTGTTGTATATAACTCTCATAAACAATTTGCCAAACCTTTTGATATGTTCATTTTAATAAAAGATATTTGCATGGTACAAAATGTGCCATTTTGATAAAATGATCTACTATCACAAATATAGAATCACATAATCTTGAGATTGGAAGATTCATAATAAAATCCATAGAAATAGAAGACCATGGTTGTTCTAGAATAGGTAATGGTTGAAAAATTCTACAAGGTGGATGCCAAAGAATTTTTGACCTTGAATAAATGTCACATAATTGAACAAAGTCTTTTACAACCTTCCACATTTGCGACCACTAAAAATCTTTAGATATTAAATCTAAAATCTTATTCTATCCAAAATGTCTTGCTATTAAAAAGTCATGACATGCTTGAAGAACACGTAAATGTGCTTTTCTTTCTAGCACATATAGTCGTCTTTTGAAATAAAGTAGATTATTCTTGAATTCAAACTTAGAAGTATCACAAGACTTAGAA